GGAGATGTAGATAGACTTACGAGATCGGCAAACCAAGGCTGTCTTGGCCAGTGCAGTGCAATGAGTATCACCTCTGCTTGTTCCTGCAATATCTTCCTGATGGTCGCTTGTATCAGAAGAAGCAGTGGGAATGCATACAGCAGTCCTTTCAGCCACTGGACTCGGAGTGCATCCGCTCCCTCTGCCCCTGATGCCGGATACTGGGAGAGGAACCTCAGGAGTTGGGCGTTCTTGGGGCTGGCAAACAGGTCTAGCACTGGGTGGCCGAATCTCTCTGATGCTTCCTTGAAAAGAGCAGGGTGCAGGCTCTACACTGAGTGGTCTATCGTGGCCCTGCTCAGGGAGTCTGCTTGGTGATTTGCTTCTCCTGAGATGTGCTCGGCCTTGAGGGAGGCTAGGTTGGACTCTGCCCAGGCCCCCAGCGCTTGGACTTTGGTTAGGAGGGCACTGGACTGAGTGCCTCCCTGGCGATTGACGTGTGCCTTGGCCGCTATGCTGTCCGTGAGAATCAGAACGTGCCAATGCGCCACTGTGCTGCGGAAGTGACGAAGGGCCAGGTGTATGGCTCTGAGCTCTAGCCAGTTTATGTTGTGTTCTAGGTCTTTCTTTGACCATTGACCTTGTGCCAGTTGCGCTTGCAGGTGTGCTCCCCAACCGAATAAGCTGGCATCTGTCGTCAGAGTGACTCGGTCGACTTCCTTGAACACGTGTCCCTTCCCTACCGCTGGGGAAGACCACCACTGGGCCTTTGGAGGACCTTAGGACCTTTGGCGGAACCCTTACTCTTTGGTTGGAGGAGCCTATCCCCCTTTTCTGAAACGGGAGCAGGAACCACTGCAGATCTCTGGAGTGTAGCCGTGCCTAAGGTACTATTGCGAGGCATGACACCATCTTTCCTAGCAATTGCGAGAGTATGGACAGTGTCATGGTTCGTTTCCTTCGGATGAGCCTGACCAGGGCTCGAATGCTGCGAGAGAGATGGACCATGCATTTTTGTGTGTCTATGATCACTCCCAGATGAAGGAGGCAGGTCGAAGGAACTGTCTGACTCTTTTGGAAGTTCACTGAGAAGCCATGTTCTTGAAGGGTTGTCAGAGTCAGTGCCAGATCTGACTGCGCTGTCTGGACTGACTAGGATTGGATTAGAATGTCGTCCAGATAGCATTGGATGCGCACAGGAATTGTTCTCAGGTGCACAGCGAGTGTTGTCAGTACCCTGGGAGCTGAAGAAAGTCCAAAAGGCAGGGCCCTGTATTGAAAATGCTGCCCCGTGTGGTAGAATCTGAGGAACCTCCAGCGTTCCGGAAGTATGGGAATGTGAAGGTAGGCCTCCATCAAGTCTATGGACGTCAGCAGGTCTCCCCTTCTGATGCTTGCTAATATCGATTGGAGGGTTTGCATTTTGAACTTTCTGTATGCCAGGTGCCTGTTCAGGTGTTTTAGGTCTAGTATTGCTCTCCACCCCCCCCCCCCGAACTCTTTGGGACTATGAATAAGATGGAATAGAATCCTTGTCCCCACTGATCTCTTTCTATCGGTTCTATGGCCTGAATATCCAGGTGTTGAATGGCCTCCTTGATGAGGTTCCTTTTGATCAGATCTCTTGGAGATGGGCAAGGGATGAAGCGGTTTGGGGGTGTTGAGATGAATTCTAGTGATAGGCCGAATCTGACAGTATTTAGGACCCAAAGGTCCATGGTGGTGGCTTACCATTTGTGAGCGAAGAGAGCTAGCCTGCCACCAATGGGGGAACTCTCCCCGCCGTCACTTGGATCTACGGTAGGGGTGCCCCCCCATCCCTCGAAAGGGCCGCTTTGATTGGAACTGTTGTCTGAATTTGTCTCTGTTCCCTGTTCTCTCCCCCTGCCGGTTTGACCTGGGCTGATAGGGGCGAGAAAAGGAACCTTGCTCTGTGCCTGCATCGGATCGAAAGGACGGTCTGCGGGAATAGGAAGAGGCTCTCCTCTCCATTCTCCTTGTCAGATGGACCAGAATCTTGTGCTTGTCCTTGTTTTCAATCAGATAAGGATCAAGAGCCTCACCAAAAAGCCGGCCACCCTTATAGGGTGCTGCCGCTAACCGCCACTTTGCCTTCATGTCGGCTCTCCAATGCTTGAGCCACAGCAATCTGCGTGCTCCGGTGTTGTACGCTATTGCCCTAGAGGAATAGTTAGATGCGTGTAAGGATGAGTCTGATATGAACTCTGCTGTCGCCACTAACCTTCTTAAGGTCTGGTGGGTTCTCTCCTCCTCCGATGAGATACTTGCCTGGAGTTGACGCAAGGAATCAAAGGCCTCTCGACCCTTGCGATGCTGCTGGCCTTGTGAAGCAGGGTCTTGAATAGAGACGGATTAAAGAGGCCCACGAATGGGGGAGGATCTGGGGATACATCTTCCTCGTCAGACAGCCCCTGATGCGTTAGCTCCTGGTCCTCCGCAGGAGACCTCCTGCTTCTGGAGGATCTGGAGGGGGGAATTGAGTCTTGATACACAGATGCTTCCTCTTGGGAAAGACGGGAGCCACCCCTTGAAACCACAGACCCTGTTCTGGAACGATGGTGTCTTGAGGAAGCCATGGCCTGTGCGACCGCCTGAGATATCAGGGATTGTAGCTATTCTGAAGACAATGCTTCATGATTGTCTGAGTGACGGGTACCTGATTCTGAACCTAGACATCCAGGCCCCTCACCTAGGGGAGATCCGTTCCCCTGCTCCGTGTCAGCCTCTGTTTCCAGAGGTTCCTGGCTAGGCTTCCTTGGGCCAAATACCTCCGCCTCCTCATAACTGGGTGGCTCTAGATCAATCTCAGTGGAGTTTTGCCTCCTTTCGGCTCTGGAAATTTGTTTTTCTAGAGCCTAGTGTTGTCGTTTAGCTTCCCTATCCGCTGTTTTGGAAGGCCTTTTTGCAGATATTGCCTTGGCCTTGATTTTGCCAGCCACCTCCTGTTTGGAGGATTTCTGTCTTTTGCGAGCAGGAGGACTGCTAATGGAAGGTTCCTGCGCTGCTTGGGCTGCGCTTGTGTCTGCCATTTTTAAGGCTGAAAAGACTGCAATTCAGATCTAATTTAGGAGTAATGTTAATTGATTTGATTTGTCTATTCTCAATTTTATATTAATTTTTTTTTAAATGGGCGTGGCTAGGCGGAAGGGAGGAGTTTGATTCAGATGTCCTGAATAGTGGTGAGTTCTGATTGAAAAAACCACCCCTCCTCATTTTAGGGCCACTTGGGAGTAGCTTGTGACCGAACAATCTAGCCTGTCTCTGCAGCTCAGCTGGGTTCCCTGCAGTCTGTAGCACCGTGTGCGTTCGCACCTTAAGGCCGGAGCCAAATAAGGTAGGTTGGAATTTAGCTCTCTGCCGTCCAAAGGAGCTGCAAGGAAGTTGCGGACCTGCAAGGAAGCCACGGGGGAGGCTGGAACTCTCCGCAGAGCAGCTGATACTCAGGAGGGAGCCACGGCGATTAAAGGGATTCCCACGGGCCAGCTGATCCTTGGACGAGTGAGCTTATTTCAGGAGGGAGCCTGCGAGTGCTCTATTAGCCCTCTGCGGCTCACAGGCTTTCGTAGAAGCCACGGGAGGTCTAATCACCCGCGAATCAGCTGGGCTGGTAAACTCTGAAAGAGGAGGATTAGGTTGGTCTGTCTCTCCCAGTGACTATGCAAAGCTTGTGGGGGGGATTGGGGGGATTGGAGGGAGAAGGAGGAATGATTCCCCTTCTTCCCAGGATCACACTTGGTGGCCAGAAAATGGTGTCCGCCTCTTTGTCCTGTACGGCACTCTGCTGGACTCCGGCCAGCCTCGTAGCTATGCTGCGATCGGCTGATCAGGCAGCAGAGAACGAACGGCTTACGATTCCCTCCCCCGAGCTATCCAGGAATATCAAAAATATACAACCTTATCCAAGATTTCGTTTCTGGAGCCAAGGAAAGTCAGTCTAATAGGGCTCAAGACTAGTCGAGACTGGGAAGGGGAGGTCTCAAGAGGAGAGGTGGAGCAAAAATTGGCGACTAGTCTACGGGCAGAAGATGAGGAAAACCCATTGGTGGATTCTCCACTTGTCATGCAAAAGAAATCCCAAGACTTTAGGACAATGCCATAGAAACAATTTACATTGACATCATAGAAAGCTATAGACCAGGCATGTCAAACTCGTGACGTCACGTGACATTGTGCGATGTATCGCAACTTTTTCCCAATTGCCGGCAATGGAGTGGGCGTGGTTTCGGTGTGATGCATCCGGCCCACGGGCCAGCAGTTTGACATACCTGCTATAGACAAAGGAAGCATATCTATACAAAGCACTTCTCACCATCAGGGAGAAAAGTGGAAAACTAAACACACCTCTGCAAGCATATCAAAAAAATCTACAGCTGTGCAGACTAGCACCTACTTATCAAATTTGAACCTGTACTGCTGAAAATATAAGATACAGGCAACTGCACTATGTTTCTGGTATTGAAAGTCACACAAAGATTTATCATTCATTTGTAAGTTGTTTCATTACTATTATTGACAATAAACTTAGCATTTGCTATGATCATTACTTATAAAATGTTATTTTAGTGCAATAGATATTACCTATGGGTTCAAAAGTGTGTATTACCCATTTTTTTCAAAATCTTATTGAAAAATTACAAAAACTGAATATGTTATCTACTAGCAAGTGAGAGATTAAAACTATTTTTGTTTACTATAATTAAAGTTAGTAAATCTCAACTTCCCCAGATTACAAAAATAATCTATACATTTTGTACTAAGAATATCAAAAAATGGTCAATTTCATAATCATACTGTTATCTATTTATTAAATTTATTAGACAATTGACTCCATTACAGGATTATATGTAACATACAGTATATAATGTCTTCAGTGCTGACACAGTCTATCAAATGAACACAAATTAATTGAAGAGTGTAATCACGCATATTTCTGAAGATCAAATATGTTAATTTGTGATATAAATTATGCATATTATACATATTTTCATTTCACACACAACTGCAATGCAACTCAGAATAACTACTGGCTTTTTACATATTTTATCTTTTATACCATATCACATTTATTGTATCCTAAATCTTCTTGCACTTTTAATCTGCATGTGTCAAAATGGAACCATGGAAATTTCTGTAAAAATGATACTAACACTAGCATGGAACAAGGAAAAAACTAAGGCTATACATATAAAAAACAATTATTTCTTTGTATTAATAAGCAGGACAAAGTACACTTATCTACCTACTATCAAAAACTTGACTTCTGATTTATCTGAACATAAAACTAGTTTTAATATTTGTTGTTCTTACAAGTTCAAATATTAGATGAATTTAAATTTATGCAGTGTTTTTTCAAAGTGGGCTGTAGCTGATACAGTCCATAACAATTACAGCATCAAACACGATAATCAAAAACGTTTCTCCCTTACCTCTATGAAGCTTCTTGACAACTTAGAGAAGTTACTTAGCAGGCTGTGGGCTACAAAACTACTGTCATGTATAAGTGCTATTTCCTATTAAATAGAACACACAAGCATATTTTTTTTCTGACATTGAGAAATCATGTAAACCAGCGGCCCCCAATCTTTTGGGCACCAGGGACAGGTTCTCTGGAGAAAGTTTTTCCCGCAGACCAGAAGGTGCCTGGTTTCATATGCTGTCTGCATTCCACAGATGGAACTTCGCTTGTTTGCGCAGCCTGGTTTCTGGCATGCTGTGGCCCGATGTCGGTCCACGGACTGGGGGTTAGGGACCCGTGATGTAAACCTAACTTTCCTTTGTGCTGAAGCTACCTGCAGATTAATTCTCTTTGAATGTGTTCTAGAGTCCTCAACATCAAATTCTGTACAATATTTCCAGGATGAATTGAATTGTTTGCATTTTCAAAACAGTTATATAGCATATTCTTACTTTTAATTGTTGAAAGTATCAACTAATGACTAAGCATATCCCAAAATGGCAATTGATTACAGCATAAGAAGAATGAAGAGTGACTTCTTTCCTTTGATTCAGTAATAAGAGCTAGGAATAACAAAACATGCTCAAAAGAATGTTGTGTGTAATCACAGTTTCTCAGTGTTCCTTCTGTAAAATAGGCTCATGCCACTAGCTAATTGAGGACAAATGAGATATTGTTAAAAACTTAGATCTAATGGCATGACTATAGATCTTTTCTTAATAAGAACAGCAATATCTGACCAGAATTAGCATTTTTCAGAAATTATTATTATTTACTGGAATAGAACCTATATATACTGCAGTTTGCTAACAGTTTTTGTTTATATTTAAACCATCAATATAGTAGTAAATATTTTTATTTTAATGTTATGCATAATACTGTAATTCAGTTAACACAAAAATCATACTGAATGTGATAAATGATAAGTTTTCTGATTGATTCAAAGCAAACAGCTGCTTGTTTGATTTTGTAGCAACTAAAAGTTGATAGATGACCCTTAAGATGGATAACTATAATAAATCACCTCATTGAGATACTCAGGAAAAAATGAAAAACAATAGTTTGCTGCATTCTGTAATATGCCATGATAAATATGTATAGTTTATGGATATACAATGTGAGTACTGAAATTAGACACCTTTATGAATTCTTTACTTTCTGAAGCTCAAAAGTCCATTCTGTGAGGTATGTCTACATTAATGTACTCCATTGTCAAAAAAAAAAGGCAGAATAAGCTGATATCAGTAAACATAAGGCAGAGATAATCTACATTTCATCTCTGTCATCAAATAGTTTTAATCAGGAAACAGTAGTCTTATATCATAACTGTGGCATAGACTTACATGCATTAATAATAGTTAGGCTGTTATTTACTATAATGAACTTGACCCCTAGTCAACATTACAGTGGCTATGATAAATATGAATTTGATAAAGTACTTCCTATTTATAAACATGTTGCTTTTTTTTAATTTGGAAAAATATTCCTATACATAGAGTATTACTGGCATAGAGTAAAACTGACAACCCAAACCTAAATCCAGTTAAGTCAAACTGTTAGTAACTAAGCCAATTTTTTCCTATTAAATGGTAAATCAAGTTGACCCTAAACACAAATATTTACAAATCTTTGACTTTTACAG